TTGGATGTTGGGGCTGGGAACCCTGGGAAACATTTCCACATAAATCGATGGGAATTACAGTACTTTTTCACCTCTTATCATTTTGGCCTATGGAAGGTTTCCTAGAAAGGCTCTACTTCAGGTAGCAGGGGGAACCTATATATAACTAGGAGTGGAATTGCTGGGTTGTATGCTCGTTCTGTGTTTAAAGCAGCTAGCACTACATATGTATATAATTGATTTCAGAGGGGAAGGGAGGGAGAGCGAGATAGAAACATCAGTAATGAGAATCATTGATCGGCTGCCTCCTGCAAACCCACCACAGGGGATCAAGCCCGCAACCCGGGCATGTGCCCTTGACCAGAATCAAACCGGGGACCCTTCAGTCCACAGGCTGATGCTCTATCCACTGAGCCAACCAGCTAGGGCTACGATTCACTTATTGAAACATCTACTGAGAGACTTGTGTGTCAGAACCAGGGCAGTGCTGGCTGGGGTAAATACAAGTCCAAAAACCATAAATTTAAAATGTCCTTCCCTGGCTGGTTGGTTAGAGTCTCGTCCCAATATGCCAAGGTTGTGGGTTCGATTCTGGTCAGACACCTACAAGAAGCAACCAATGAATCCAATGAGTGGAACAACAGCCTGGCTGGTGTGGCTCAGTGGTTGAGTGTTGACCTATGAACCAGGGGTCATGGTTCAATTCCCGGTCAGGGCATATGCCCAGGTTGCAGGCTCAATCCCCAGTGTGGGGTGCACAGGAGGCAGCCGATCAATAATTCTCTCTCATCATTGATATTTCTATCTCTCTCTCTCCCTTCCTCTCTGAAATCAATAAAAATACATATATTTAAAGAATTGGTGGAATAAATTGATGTTTCTCAAGTTAATAAATTAAAAAAGAGACTCATTTACTTCATACCCTAAAAAAAAAAAAAAAAATTTAAATGTCCCATGTTTCAGAGAGGAAAAAGAACTCCCGCACCACTCCCTCTCTGAAATCAATACAAATATATCTCTTTTAAAAAAGAAAAAAATTACTGCCTAACCAGTTTGGCTCAGTGGATAGAGCGTCGGCCTGTGGACTCAAGGGTCCCAGGTCTGATTCCAGTCAAGGGCATGTACCTTGGTTGCGGGCACATCCCCAGTAGGGGGTGTACAGGAGGCAGCTGATGGATGTTTCTCTCTCATCGATATTTCTGACTCTCTATCCCTCTCCCTTCCTCTCTGTAAGAAATCAATAAAATATATTAAAAAAAAAAATACTGCTGTTTCCTGCCAACAGAAGGTAGATGTCTTTGCCCGTTTTCTTGCTATATTCCCAGCACCGTGTCTGGCACACAGCCAGTGCTCAAGGAATGAAGGAAGGGAAGGAAGAGGGAGGGTTCTAGAAGGGGCACTGAGCAGGTGCAGGTGGAGCTGGGGCAGTGGACTGTGGAAGGAAAAGGGCTGTGATGGGAGGGCCACATGGGGGGGTAGGAGGGGTGTGGGGGCGGGGGCTCCACATCCTTCCATTGCACCCCCCTCTCACCTGGACGAGCCCCTCCCGGGACTTCTCTGGGCACCTGCCATGGCTCTTCGCCTCGTTCCAGATGGGAGATCACTTCTGGCTTACAGACCGGAGGCCCTGCTTGTGGGGGGGAAGCGGCATGGCTGTGGGCTGCAGCTCTCTCTCCAGAACCAGCGACAGGACAGGAGAGCCCCCCGAACAGCACGAGCTGGCACTGAGCGGTGTGGCCGTCCCCGAGGATGGGGGTCGCAGAATGGGAACCCAAGTTGAGGCATGCATTCTGAGGAACCCATGGGTATCCCCCCCACCCCCGTCTCCCTTGGAAAGTCCAGGGCAGGTTGGGCTTCCAGGACCCTATCCACCCTCACCCTCTCCCTCTCCCTCTCGTTCTGGCTCGCCTGTGTCCAGCCGCACCTTCAGGCATAGGGCCCTCTGAGGAGAGTCCAGCTGCCCCCACTCCTCCTGGCTGAAGTCTACGGCCACATCCCTGAAAGTCACCGATTCCTGGATGACACACATTCTCAGTCACCCAGGGCGGGAGGGATTCCGACTGGGTTCCTGCTTCCAGGGAATTAGGGTTAACCTTGGTGACCTTCTCCCAAGCGTGGAAGGTTGTGCTTAGACGCCCTCTGTCACACAGTCCCACGTACACACCATAGCTGGGCCAGGGATCGCCATCTGGCCCTGGCTTTCTGGACCCGAAGGGCCCGGCTAACTGGGCAGCCCCTGTGCCTGCCACGACGGACAGAAAGCTGCTGTGAGGAGTTCTGGGTAAGAAGGTCAAACTTAGAGAACGTGAGAGAATAACACAAAGAACCCAGAAACCCAGTGCAAATCTCACCGCTGCCAAAGGCCCTGACCCTAAGGAAGCAAACCCTGTGCTTATCAGCAAGCTCCGAGCCTAAGAGACCAAAGGAGCCATTCCATGTCCTTCCTGCCTGCCCCTCCCTCCCTCCTTCCTACTGACCTCTGCTCCCTGCCCTCCCAGGCCTGAGTCCTGGCCCATCCCTCCTCCAAAGCCGGTCACTCTGGTTCCAAGAGTCACAAATGCCCCTAATGACTCCACCAGTCCTCGAGCCCTCAAATCCTAGGCTTCTACCACCCGGGGCTCCACCCTGAGCTCCAGCTGTGGCCCCTAACAGTCTCCACACTCATGCTCCCCCGCCCCCACCCCACCAGCTCTGCCCTCAGGCAGCAGACTAACTGCTCTTTTTCAAGATGCCGGTGCCACGGGGCCTGGCTTTCCCGCCTGGCTTTCCTGTAGCTGGGATGTAGTTACGATGTAGTTACGTTAAACGTAAGAGCGAAGAATAAACCAAGGAGGGAAGCCTGGTTCCTACCTTTAAGCATTTGCTGGGAGTGTCTGGCCTGGGGCCAAGCTCCCGGGGCCCCCAGGCTCTTCGAGAAGCTCGGGATCCACATCGGCACCCACGTCAGGCGAGGGGCGCAGACTGTCAGCCTTGAGAAGGGGCCTCACCCCACCAGCAGCTTACCAGGTAGTCAGCCAAAGTGGGGACCCCTCTGGGGTCATAGGGGCTTGACCTTTAGTTCTAAAAATGGCTTAAAGCCCTGGCCTGGTTGGCTCACTGGATAGAGCGTCAGCCTGTGGACTGAAGGGTCCCGGGTTCGATTCCTGGTCAGTGCACATGCCTGGGTTGCAGGCTCCATCCCGTGTGGGGCGCGCAGGAGGCAGCTGATCCATGGTTCTCTCTCATCATTGATGTCTGATCGATGTTTCTCTCTCATCAATGTTTCCAATTCTCTATCTCTCTCCCTTCCTCTATGTAAACAATCAATAAAATATATTTTTAAAAAAAGTAAAAAAAATAAAAGTGGCTTATACTTTTTACTTTATTTGTTGATTTTAGAGAGAGGTGATGGGGGGGGAGAAAGAGAGAAATATTGGTTTGTTGTTCCACTTATTTTCACATTCCTTGGTTGCTTTCTTGTAGGTGCCCTGACAGGGATTGAACCCACAACCTTGACAGATCAGGATGATGCTCTAACCAATGAGCTTCACAGCCAGGGCAGAATACATAGTCAAGTGCACACAGAACACTTACCAAGATAAACCACATTCTGGGCAATAAAATAGATCTTAGTACATTTGAAAGAATTCAAAATATGCAAAGTTCCTTTTCTGACTACCACAGAATGAAATGAGAAATCCATCATAGAAAGACATCGGAAAATCCCCCAAATGTTTGGAAACTAAACAACACGCTACTAAAAAATGCACCGCTGAAGAAGAAATCACAACTATTTTGAACTAAAAATAAGAATGCAACATGAAATTTGTGGGATGTACCTAAGGCAGTGCTTAGAGGGAAATTTCTAGCAGTGAATGCTGTATGCAGAGAGAAGAGTGTCAAATCAATATCCAAGATTCAACCTTAAGAAATCAGCATACTGCCCTAACCAGTAACTTCTCTTAAAAAAAATATTTCCCCTTTATTGATTTTTTAGAGAGGAAAAGAGAGGGATGGAGTGAGAGAAACATCATCAATTCACTACCTCCTGTACAACCCCCCCCCCCCAAAGGGACTGAGCCTGCAACCCAGCTTGCCCTGACCTGGAACTGAACCAGTGACCTCTTAGTTCATGGGTTAACGCTTAACCACTGAGCCACATCAACCTGGCATCTCCTAAGGATATTCTATTACACAATCACAGTGCCAGCATCACACCCCCAAAAATGAATATTAATACAATATGACCTAAGATACAATCAATCCATTTTCAAATTTCCTCAACTGTCCCAAACTGCCTTTGATGGAATTTTTGGATCAGTGAGGCATTGAGAATCATGTATTGCATTTGATTGTCATGTCTCTTGAGTATTTTACAGAATTACAGAACATTCTAACACATTACAGAAGCTGGGCACATCTCACAACATGTGTCTGATAGCTATTTCTGTCTGTAATCAGACCCCACCTCTTTCAAGTGGGAGGTTAACAGAATCACAAAATCCTAAAAAAGTCAATCCTCTAGCCGAGACCGGCTTGGCTCAGTGGATAGAGCGTCAGCCTGCGGACTGAAGGATCCCGGGTTCGATTCCGGTCAAGGGCATGTACCTGGGTTGCGGGCATATCCCCAGTGGGAGATGTGCAGGAGGCAGCTGATCGATGTTTCTCTCTCATCGATGTTTCTAGCTCTCTATCTCTCTCCCTTCCTCTCTGTAAAAAATCAATAAAATATATTTTAAAAAAAAATAAAAGCAAAAAGAGCTTAGTAACTGGAAAACAGAAAATTAAGGCACACAAATAAATCATGATATTAAAAAGTCAATCCTCTCACGTGGTTCGCGAGCCGCAGTTTGCCACGCTAGAGCAGTGGTTCTCAACCTTGGCTGCACATTAGAATCACCTGGAATCTTTTTAAAATCCTGATTTCTGGGACTCATCCCAGGTGATTCTAATGTGCAGCCAAGGCCGAGAAAAAACTGCTCTAGACCTTTTCACTCCCCCACACTCTCCTTATCAACCATATCCTTCTAAATACTATGATGGGTAGGGTAGTGTAGGTGGTGGAACAAAACCCGAAGTCTCTAAGGAAGGATTTGGGTCCTGCTTAGCTGCAGAAGTGGCCCCAGAGCCAATTCCTTGCTGAGCCCCCAGATCCTCTAAAACTCCTGGTTTTACATGAGGCCCCATGTCAAGGGCCCAGTACAGAGGAAAAGCACACAGGGACACACCCCCTACCATCACTCTCACCCCAGCACTGCAACACAGCCCTTCCTTCAGCTGTCCCACACCAGATTTCATACCAGAAAACTCCCCCAAGCAGGTCCAACCACCACCACCATCGCCTGGGTCTTCATGTGGAGGTGAGCAAAGTGATCTCAATGTAACCTGCTTGCTGGAGCTCTGCTAAAGCCACTCTTTGGAGCTCCTGGCACAGTGTGGGCGTGCGGGTCCTGGGCAACTGACCCCCCCCCCCATTGGACACCCCTGGGGCATCACCTGGAACTGTTCCCAAGCCCAGAGCTTCCTGAAGAAGCCTGCCAACCCTCTTCATAAAGAACAAGATGTTAAAAAAGCAAAAACAAAAACAAAACCACCAGCCTTAGTTAGTTTGGCTCAATGGATAGAGCATGGGCCTGCGGACTGAACGGTCCCGGGTTCGATTACGGTCAAGGGCACATGCCAGGGTTGTGGGCTCGATCCCCAGTGTAGAGCATGCAGGAGGCAGCCAATCAATGATTCTCATCATTACTGTTTCTATCTCTCCCGCTCTCTTCCTCTCTGAGATCAATAAAAATATATTTAAAAACAAACAAATACATTAAAAAACCAAGATGTTCAGAAATAAGAAAAGACAGCCACTCACCTCAGGCCTGGCTTCCAGGAGACCCTGACCCCATTTATCCTCCGGATTATCTTTGAGAAGAGCAAGGTCCCGAGAGGACAGAGCTGGGAAGGAGAAATGAGTAACGGGCTGGTCAGTCACAGCCCCCAGCTGCGCTGACGGAGCTAAAAACCACTCCCCACCTGGCACCCAGGACCATCAGAGGCGTCCGGAGCCACCCCCGCAGGTGGGGTGGGGAGCGAGCCCCGGTGCGTGGCATAACCTGATACAGAATCGGGGGTTAATTCTGCCACGCAGCGTCAGACGCTGCAGTTTAGAAGGAAAACACTGCCATTTCCTTCCACTCATCAGCACGCTCGACAGTGGGAACAAATGGCTGGGCCCGGTGGAGCCAGCACCCCGACTCGGCTGGTGCTCTGGGGAACCAGCCTGACCTGTCAGTCTCCTCAATGCAAACCCACAGGCCCACTGCCTGAAAGAGCGGATGGTACCTGTCTCCGGGGGCTTCGGGGCAGGCGTCTCCATGGCGGCCCTTGACAGCGTCCCCCGGAGGCGTGGGCAGCTCTGCAGCCACCTGGGCCCCCGGCCAGGGCCAGAGGAGCGGGTTCAGGGACAGCAGCCCGTAGGGGAGCCCCGCGGGGTCGCGCACGCACTCCCGGCTGCACGGTCACACAGGCCCTGCGCTCCGCCGCGGTCGCGGCCCGGCGGGCTCAGCAGGGGCCCCGCACCCCAGGCTGCGCTC